AAACTTTTTTTGTAACTATATATATATATGTGTGACAGCACCCGGGAGGGAGGGGGAGGGGGGGGGAGGGGGGGGAGGGGGCGACAAATCCTCGAAGGCGACAACCTCACTGCCTTCAGTGGTGCTCCGGCTCTCTTTCTGGAGCCCCAGAGCATGGGAGTCTTGACCCATGTTGACGATGTGGAAGCTGTTTGCCTCGCCTCCCGTGGTGAGCAGCTGAAGAAGCATTGCACTAAGGCTGGCCTCAACATCTCATGGGAAGGCCCGCTTTCTTTGGATGGTGGCTCTTGCAAGTTCCTCAAGCGCAAAATGTTCTCAGTTGAAGGGGGCATCCAGATCGAGCAGGACAAGAAGCACATTGCAAAGCTTGTGGAGCTGACTGGTGTTGGGAATGCCACGGGAAAGAACACCCCTTGCCCAGCCAGCCCTCATGTGGTCAGCAAGCAAGATGAGGAACTTCTTCTGGGGGAACAATATGATATCTATCGTACCAGCATTGGGGTGCTTCTTTACCTAGGTCCGGACAGGCCAGACATTTTGTACGCTGTGAAGGTTCTCTCGAGCCGCGCCACAACGCCTCGCAACCACGAATGGAAGCTTCTCTGTCACCTTGTCAGGTACTTGAAGAAGCATGATGATTGGGGTCTCTTGTTCACCAAGGCGTGGCCAGGGAGAACTCTGGAGCAGCGTTGTTTGAAAGCAGAAAGGCCTGATGGTGGTGGCTATGCTTCCAGCAACCCCTTCGATGGGGAGCATCTTCTTGAGAGTGTGTCTGATGCTTCGTGGGGTTCAGAACCAGGGAAGTTGAGTGTTTCTTGTTCCATCATCTACCTCAACGGCAATCCCATCTATATCACCAACAAGCGTCAGAAAAGTGTGGTTCTTTCTTCGTGTGAGTCTGAACTTCATGGCTCACTCCTTAGCCTCCAAGAAGCGATCCTGATCAAGTCTGTCATCGAGGAGCTCACCAAGAATACGTGCAAACTTGTGCATCGAGTGGACTCGAGCTCATGTCGTGCTTTGCTCAACCGTGAAGGCCTAGGTGGCTTGAAGCATGTCGATCTTCATTACCTTTGGTGCCAAGAGAAAAGAAAAGCTGGGGTTTACAGTGTGAGCCCTATTGGAACCAAGCATTGCCCAGCTGACATCGGCACCAAGGCTCATGCTTTTGCTCGCTGCTCCCTTCTTTCCTACATGATCGGTGTGTGCGATGGAGCAGGGAAGCCTATAGGTGAGGATGAGTTCGTCAAGAGCTGGGAGTCTGAAGCTCTCAGAAGACTTTTTGCAAAGACCTGTGGGCCCAAGCAAAGCACCTTGAACCTCAAAAGGATTCTTGCCTTTAGCCTCGTAGACGGTGCCTTTGGAAGGTCGATGGACAACGTCATGACCCCCGTGAACATTGCCCTCCTCTTTGCGGTGATCTTTGGCATGGCGCTCTACTTCGTCTACGTGGTGTACTACAACAACCTGGCTTCGATGGGCACAACAACGAGATCCAAGACCTCCTCTACGAGACCATGGCGCTTTGGATGGCTGCTGCTCTACGTCAACTTCGTGGTCTTCACCATCGGCAAGGACACTTCGACCTCTACGAGCTCTTCGGCTTCAACACACGTGAGCTACTTCAAGAAGTTCTACAACAACATCGTGGAGCACCAGAACCTCGTCTTCTTCGGCATCCTGTTCATCATGTTTGCTGGCATGTTTGTCTGCATGGCCCCCAAGAAGAAGAAGGACAGCGACAACAACGAGAAGGAGGAGTTGAGCGACGAGATGAAGGGAAGGATCCACCAATGGCTTACAGACAACGTGCTTCCACTACTTGGTGTGGACCAGACAAGCTCGAGCTCTACAGGACCTGCCGTACCTCCTCTTCCTGCTGCGGATGAAGAACAAAACGAGTGGGCGCTGCTTGGAGATGGAACTCCATCTGAGGTGCGTCGCCAAGAGCTTTATCGTGACAATGGCATTGAGTATGACCCGAGCATCATCCATGGCTGGCGTGGGACCTCTACTCCTATGCCGGCACCAACTCCTGAACCGGTGGCAGAGGCCTCTGCTGAGGTGTGGGTCATCGGCGAGCTTCGCAAGAACAAGGGCTTTCACCGCACCTGCTGCGGCCAAGTGAGAAAAGCGCGCTCCCAACGACCTGGTGACCTGAAGGCCATGTCGAGAAGTGAGGCAGAAGCAAAAGGCCTGCATGCGTGTAAGCAGTGCAACCCTGAGTGAGTTTTCCTTTGGTGGCTGAAAGTCCACCCCTCTTTTGCGTGCGCATGTATAGTCTAGGTTTCAGTGTAAGTCCTTTGGAATAGCTTCTGAAACAGCGCTTTTGTGTAGAGCCAGTCCTGAGTCTCACGTTGGTCACACCCTAAAAAGAAAGAGCCCAAAGTGTGATCATCAACGCTGTGCATTGTTTGAGCATGGTAACAGGCCTCGGGACTAGAACAAAAGAAGTTTGGACCCCAAGATGTCCCCCGAGGCAGGTAGGTTGTACAAAGCTTTAGAAAGCTTAGGTTTTAGGCAAACTCCAGTGCTCTTGGAGAGGGCGGTTAGCTAGATGCTGACAGGAGTGCCTAGTTGAGCTGAGTTGTGCAGCTTGGTTTCGAGTGTGCCGAACTTTTGACAGCATCCAGATACCCCGTTTTATCATGTGTTTTGTGGCACAGCTTGTTTTCCATTCCTGAAGGAATACCGACTGCCGGGACTCAAAGGCTCAAAAGAGTGTGAAAGAAATTCTGCGTGACGGTTTCAAAAAGGCAAGGGTGCCTCAGTCACTCTACACCTGAAGCCGAGATTGTCGAGGCCGACTTTGCTATGACACGCTTAGGGTTGCCCGCCATAACACTGTGGCGACAATTAGGTGGCAAAGACCCCAACTTCGTCTTCTACGACGACAACCAGACCATGATAGGCGTGGTGCGAACAGGCAAGAATCCCACTATGCGTCATCTTGAGCGCACACATGGGATCAGCATCGGTTGGATGCATGCCATCTTCCAGGAAGGACATGTGTCTCTTGCTTATGAAGTCACCGCCAAGATGGCTGCGGATATTCACACTAAGTCCTTCAAGGATTCGGTGTCATGGACGCATGCCTGTCAGCTGATCAGGAACAGATTGGATCACAAGATATCATCATGGATCTGATGCGGCCTACTCATTCCCAAAGTGCGGATGAGAAAGGGCAGCAGCTTTACATGTTCAAGAGCGAGGTGCCCTGCTTTCCCTACACTCAGACTCCCATATTGCCGCAGGTGCTTTATCGCGCGGGTCTTTCGAGTAAGGAAGGTTTGCAGGAGCACGACAGCGTCGACCCCATCTTGGTTGTCAAGTTCCCGCGCATGTTGCGGGATCCACCGTCTGCGTTGCCGCCAGGGCGTTATTTGCGCTCAACCTGGATTCTTCGTGAAGGTGCGTGGCATCAGGTGGAGGATCATGCTGTCATTCCGGACTCACCGGTCAAGTTCGATCGCTACGTGGAACGGGCTGTTTTTCAGTATCATCCGGTACGGCCTGCTCTTGTTGCGACGCCGGTGGTCGAGGACTTCGTCCAGACCTCCGTGCCTTTCCCGTATGGACGCCAATTTGTGCGCACCCTGACGCCTGAGTGGCTTTCGGTGGATGCCGCGCTCGCACGCGCCATCCATG